TTGAACACATTTCCTCTGCTTGTTTGTGTTACAGTGGGAAGCAACAGGCACTACATTGGATTTTAGTGAAAGTGTGTCTTCAATTATTTTGTTCATTAATGTAGTCCATGCTGGCATATAAACCCGAGCAAGGCACGAATTGCAGGTGAATTTTGAAAGCGTTCAGCCTGCCGGCCCTGTGGGGAATACCAATGAAGGAGTAATTGGAAATACTCCAAATCGATTTTAACGTTAGCAACAAATTCAATGTACAGAGTTCCACCCCTGCAATTCAGAGCTGTGGAAGTAAATAAAGAGATCAGGCACTGTTCGGGGAACTGAACAAGTCTGTAATTTTGCAATGAACTCAAGCAGACACATTGTTTTGTTTAACGGTCATTTGGAGTTTAAGAAAATGTACATGCCAACCCTTGTGCTTTGAGCACCGCAGTGGAAAAAGTAAAATCTTCAGCTGACGGGTCTCGGAAAAATTGGAGATGAGCAAGAACGGTGTTTGATTTTTACCAATATGGTATCAAAACGACCGTACAGATTTAAAAACTAAGTACCTGAAAAAATGCACTGCAGCGATATCTGAAGAAAAGGTGAGGGGCGCAATGTATTAACATTAATCAACACTTGAAGTTAATCCATACAGATTCTCTGTTTATAAAGAGTGACTCAACTTTGAAAATTGTTTTCTCGGCTGTTTGTGGCATCACAATGCAGCATATCCTCCTCGTGTTTCAGTTCTTGTGAAAGAAAATCCTTGTTTCAAAGAATCGTAAAAAAATAAAAATTTGTTGAAAATATGTTGAATTGGGTTCTGCAAACAATATTGTTTGAGGGAAACCTACTGAGATTAAGCGCATAAAGCGACAAAGTGACAAAAACCGATAAGCGGTTGCTTTCACTGAATTCTGGGCTTAAATTCACGCTTTCCTTGGTGATCACTAATAGACAAGAGCATCATCTCCAAGAGTTCGTTCCTGCAAATCACTACCGTAACCCTCCGGCAATAATTGAATGTAGTGCATTGAAATTATTGAATTAATTCGACAAAAAGTTCAACAATCTTGGCTGTCTTCTGTAGCCTATGTTAGCATTGATTGGTTTAGACATTATTGGCTCGGTAAAATGGCCACCACACGAACTCTGGTGGCTTCAACCAATCAGGAGATTGGTTACCGTGAATAATTGCGCATGCGCGCCAGAAGGGTGCCAATCTGCATGGCCCACGGGATTCAGCAGTGCGCATACTCAGTAATCCATAGTAACTTGAGCAAGTCAGGTGTGCTCGGAATTTTTTGGGTTAGCCTGCCAGATTTTACAAGACTGGTTTTCTGGCAGTTCGTCTGTTGTGAATATAGAGCCCTCTTCTGGTACTGTTATTTAGCTGTACTCGCTAGCGCATGTCGCCTGCAAGGTGCACCGGCCAAAACAGTAAAACCAGTCTGGGGTGAAGACTTCTACAATTCTTTAGAACACAACGAGGCATGGGTAAACACTTTCTTTTGTTCTGATACTGAATTCGTTTCATGCATGAGCCAGTCACCAGGGAAGATATTTCAATTATTTGAAATTAAATGACTGTGGAATAATGTGCGCAATCTGGAAACTTAACATCTCATAAGTCTTCATTTATATGCCTCGTAGCTTTAAGTCTACTAATGCTTACGCCACTGCACGTGGACAACGCGCTCCCTCAGAATGAACCAAGTTGCGGTTTGTCGGCACTTCATTCCATCTTAATGCATGTACAAACAGTTAGGCACCGCCTTCCTCTATCAACTTCTCCACAATTTAAGATTTTTTGTTTAAATTTCGTCAAAGACATTTTGTAATCTTGGCCAATAAAGACGAGGTGGATGGTGTTATTCCACTCCGACCTGTCGGTGCTATTTAAACCTCTGAACATCGTTTGGAGAGGAATGGTTTGGCATGCCTTCTTGTCGATTTTTGCACCATCCAGACTGACAGATTTCCATTTGTATAATTTGGGAAAAGCTTGGTGTCATCTGTGTCCTGTACCATCATACATTTTACAACACACAATAAGGCAAAGACACAGACTTCGTTTTGCTTTGATTTCGACATTACTTTAATGTATATACCATCACCAAAAACATTTCCGATAATACGGGCTATTCGCAGTAGTGCGCCGCCAGGAGTTTGAAACACGTTAGCCAATCACAACGCGCGAAATCTGTCGACCCTTTCCAAACGCATTGCCAACTCTTGGAGGCGCACTAAATCAAATGACGGTGGAATAGTGTGCATTGTCAAAGTACCCTTCAATAATACTTAAACGAAAATATGCAAAGTTCAGAAATGACTCGTGCGTACCTTAAACTTGACTAGTTTGACTGCAAGAGGAGACTTGACTGGCAAATATACACCAACAAAGCTTCTTCATCGTTTTACCATAAAAAAGCCATAAAGAGGGAACGATTTTCAGAGCAAACTAAATATTCACCAAGCAAGTAAATAACACCTATCGCAGTTGGTCTATTGTATTCACGTGACGTGACGTGACGTGACGTGACCTGTAGTCACGCGACCTACAGTGGGTATCAAGCATCAACAACATGGCGTCCTTCTTTTTCATAAGTGTTGTTTAGCGCAAATAGTGGAGGTGACTTAGCGGGTACAATCGGTCATTTGTGCTTGAGCCATTAGGCCTTTGTGCCATTTAGAGGTTGATTTCAGCGGAAGCTATCATGGCAATGTGTTTAGCATTTCAAACATTTAAAAAAATCGCACTTCCAAAAAATATCCAGCCTTATCTACCTATATGCATCATTACTAAACTAAAGAAGTCGGTAATAGTTTGAAAGGCTTGCGGTAGCACCATGCGAAGGAATATATCTCTTATGAGTATGTATGGTTCTAAAGAGAACCGGGAGTATACGCAACGTCTATACTTCTCCAGAACCACACAAATTCGTAAGAGATATATTCCTTCGGATGGTGCTACCAGAAGCCTTTCCACCTATTGCTGTCGTTCGCCATGAATAGCCTGAAATTCCAAACTAAAGAAACATCAATTTAACATATTTTTCACTTCAACTTAATGTTCCGATGCCAATTCGGTCGTCAACACTGCAGGGTTACCATCCTACTCAGGAACAACTTTATACAGTACGGAAACCTTCGAATGACTCCTTGAAAGGCAAACGTTTACATCAACCAGTAATTAAAAGAAACATGGTTGTCAGTTAGCCAAAGTTAATTGGCAGAGATGCTCGTCTTTCGGGAAAAAGGAAAACTCACGTTGTCCTACAATTTGGCCCTTGTCTTCAACGTGTGTAGGGAAGATGCACGCAAGCGTACTCGCCCTAAGCCATAAATTTAGAGCAGGTATGTCTCTGTGAAAGCAAAAAACGCCAGCGAATTAAAGACCAACTACCTACAAATAAAATACGCAAGAAGCTGCCAACATGATATGGAGCCCAATGTGGGATAACCCACTCGCTATGCTGAATAGGAATAGTTTTATTAGTTTTTGAACTTGTCTCTTGGCCTCTCGCCATTTATTTCCAGTTGGAGGGGTTTTGTGGTGATGTGTCTACCGTCCTTTTCCGTATCATGCACAAAACGAACTACCATCCGGCTGCCAGTTGCAGATTAAACCGGCTGAGCAGTACCGATTCCCGCCACAGTGCTCCCCACCTAAAAAAAACCCCAAAAACAAAAAACGGAACACCTCCATTAGAGATGCATGCATGGGAATTCGGATGATTAAGTTTACTCATTTGAGGGACACTTGACGTTTTGTTTGAAGACTGCCGTAACAGTCTCGTTTTGAGCATTAGAGAATAAGTGGAATTCTCATTTATGTTTGTAACACTTAACTGTGTTAAGTACACAAACAGTGTAACAACAACCACTGCTAAATATTGAAGGCACACATATTTTACAAGTACACAGAACCTTTCAACACATCAAAGTGATTAATAAACACCATTACAATGAATGATAAGAGCGATATCAATACTAACATTTTCATTGGAGAAAGGAAAGCAAACAGAAACAACAAACAACAGAAAATAAACCCTTTTCGTTCATGATTTCCAAATCGTGGCGTGAGTAACAAGAGTAATGGCTCCTAATGGGAAATCAGTGGCGGGGCAATTGTTCACGATACAGATGTTTATCTCATGTAAATTGTAGACGCCGTTATTAACCTTTGTAACGGTAGGGTGAAAGGTTTTTTCTTTATTTCGGAACAAATTTCAGTTCTCTGGTCTGTTGTTTTGGAGATCAGTACCACCTCTCGTTTTTTTTTTCCACGAAAGGAATAAACCTAGTCAATAATGGTACACGATTATGCATTCAATTCCTCCTAACTTAAGCCCAAGATTACAAATTTAATGTAATGAGTCATTGTTTGTTTGTTTTTTCTGTGTTTTTTGAGGCAATACCATCGATTGACAATAGTGTGCCTCCAATACAATATGCATATACAACACGTTGGCCAATCACGACGCGCGAAATTAGTCGACCCAATGCTCGTTTGGAAAGGGTCGACAGATTTCGCGCGTCGTGATTGGCCAACGCGTTCCAAACGCTTGGAGGCGCACTATTGTGAATCGCTCGTATTCAATCACGTCGTTGCCAACCTCATTATTAAATGAAAACAGTTACCATGCTAAGTAAAGTGGAAAATTAATAAACCTCGCCGCTGAACGCAATACGTTACCTATTCAGCAACAATCTGCACAACGAAATATATCGATGCTGTTGACATGAATTTCGGACGATATGATGGCAATAACAAAGTCCCTTGCACTGGGATTAATTTTAAAGAGCAGAAACGCCTATCACAAAACTCACGTTTTAGATCCTGGGATTCGAACTCGGTCAGGACTTTGTGCAGGAGCTCCCGAAGAGTCAGGTCCTTATCCTCTCCTGAAAGTTAAGAATGACACCAATAAAATGGCATCACGCTATATATTGTCTGAACGCGGTGTTTATATTTGATGTTACAATCAAGTGATAATCCACTCTGAATCCATATAAAGGGTGCGTTCGACTGGTTTACACGTGTAAGTCAAACTTACACGAGGGCGTTCGTTTAGCCATCACGTGATCTTTGTGCCTGCCCTAGTGCCAGTAGGCGGGCGGGTCTTTGGAAGCTGCCCAGGTGTAATGACGTCACGGATGGACCGTTCGAGCATGGACATCAAAGAACGAACGTGGAAGGGCTTTGATCTTTTTCCCAGCTTGCCTTGAAGAATACGCTGCAGCTTTTGATTATCCTCATTTCGAGGCTTCCCTGCGTGTATCACTGTTGTGTTCAGGGAAGCTAATCGAACGCACCCATTATAGAGAGTGTCAGCTTCAATTATCCACTTACAACATGAGATTTGAATTTCATCAACACAAAAGAGTGTTGGTATAATCAAATGGGGTTATTTTTCATTTCATAGGAGGCATGTGGCCTCGTGGTTTGGATTTGCAGCCTCTGATCATAGGTCGGGGGTTCGAATCCACCTGGTGGCAGCATCGTGTGATCGTGGACAAGTCACTTTACCTGGATTATTATTTTGTTTATCCTTATGATAAACACTTTGTTGAACACGTTCATGTGTCAAAACGCACTGCCTGTTGAAACGTATTATGCGTTTAGTTTTTAAACACGTTCTTGGGTTTTACAGCGTGCACACGGGTGGTACCACTTCGGCGGCAAGGTGGCTATTCGACCACGCTAATCTCTTAATGGCTCCCCTGAACAGATTCAACAAAACGACGTGGAAAAGAGCACTGACTTGATTGACAACAACAAAATTATAATTTCTGGTTTGGGGGCAGACATCAAATGAAACTGGCTATTTGAACAAATCCAACTCGGAAATACAGTTCTCAATTTTACAGTAATCATTGGTCTACGGTCTGGTTTAGCTAATTTAGCAGATTTTAGTCCCAGGGTTTTAAAAATGCTTGTCAATGAAATCGTTCCGCTTGCATTGTCAAAAAAGGTTTCCCGAATATGGTCGGCCAGAACTCCGAATACACAAATAATATTTTTCTCGTCACGTAGCGGAGATAAGCCACGGTACGTCACTCCATCGAAAGACCCGATCGTCATTGGAATGGAGAAGACAATTTACAAGAGATCGGGGGTACCTCGAGGGGGTATTCTAGCATTGGGCGACCTCGGCTGAAACCTTGCCTTAAATTTTGCAGTGTGCGTGCGTGACCATTTGTGTCGTTCCGTTCCCGTTGGGGGAAACAGCTACAGAATTCTATGCCATTCTGGAAGGCTTCATTGTTAATATTTTGCCCTGGTTCGGATGACAGATCGCACTTAGGTTGCAATTTGACCTACTTTATCAAAAACAGCAACAACAACAACAAATATATATAGCAGAAAGTCGAGGGGTCCGTTCAGGCTGAAAACCCTGCCGTTGGAATTAAATTGGCTCATTCCATCCAGCACCAAAAGATTTACGGAAAGTAAAGGCTATCTCTCCTCAACTTAAGGGGTGCCTGCTCTCCTCACAAGGGACCTTTTCTATGAGCAATGGGCTTCGTCCAGGCAAATATGTAGTCCCTATTAGTCACAAAAGAGCGAAGGTTTTTTCCCACAAAAAGTGTAGGTCTCCCATCTCCCCATTTACTGCTATTTAGAAACACCTGTGTCGAGAACTTGAACCAAAGCCCCATTTTCTGTCCCAGTATGGGCTGGACAATTTTCTGGCACTCTTCACAGAACTCTCATCGTGCATCCAATACAACAGTGACTATTGAACATGGTGTTTAGATCATGAAGAATTCTTCAAATTCATACCAGAGTCTGGAAATCAAAACGAAATGCCTACCCGCGTGGTCGTTGTAGGCAGAGGCGCAGTAGGCCATGCACACTAGCAGTACAAGGACAGCGTAGGTCTTCATTGTTTTTGTAAAGCTTTGCTGTTGGAAAGGAAAATAAGTACAATTGTGAGAATACAGTCACCTCGGGAAGAGAACAGAAGTACTTTTGGAAGGTTTTGAGTACAAAATACTTAATATTACATGCTTGAGATGATGGCGTATTTTACGGTGTGAGGGAAACGTTCCATACTCAGCCATCACGAATATTTCTACCCTACCTTTCAACGAAGAGTATTTCTCTGGCTGCTAAGCCCTTCTTCACAAATCTAAATTAACCTTTCCCCGTGTTTTTTTTTATCTAGTTGGTTTTTATGACTGTCAAGTTGTTATGTTTTTGTGAAGTTGAAGAACTCAGTGTACCAGATTTTATTCATATTTAACTTGAAAAAGGCTTATTGAAACGCACTTCCAGGTCACTAACAACTTAAAAGCATAACAACTTTTCTTCCATGAAATGAAAGAAAGAAAATGACACTTTCGGAACTCACTCGCACAGTTAACGAAAAAGACAAAATAGTCCGTCCCCTTCGAAGCAGAGCTGTTCCTCTTGGACCGATGGCTCTGGAGCAATTGACCTAAAAGCAAGTCGCATGAAGGTTTAAGGCCTAACCAAGAACCTACGTTTGTACTTACTGGTTGAATGCACTAAAGCTATGTGCGCAAATTATGCGTATTTGGTAATGTCAGACCTCTATGCAAATTGGACAGGGTCATCACAGCGTATGTCTGTCATCTCCAACTCCATTTTGCTTATTGTGTTCACTGTTCACTTCGTTCATGCTTCAGTGGTAGGCATTTTGAGATATGCATTTGTCATTCAATGAAAACCTTAAAAGGTATTTGCTGAGAACTATAGCCAATTGTAAAAAAGAAGAACATGTCGCGTATGCCGTCAGTGGCTGGTTGTCTGGCTGGCCGGCCGGCCAGCTGGCTGACTGGTCGACTGACCGACTCGCTGGTCGGCTGGCTTCAAATTGCAAGAACTTCTTTGATGAGACAGAGGTAAAGAATGACAAATAGTGTGCTTCATCAGACGCTACCAATCTGCTAGGCAGACTGTTCTTAGGTTCTGCAGCCTGTAAACAACAGAACACAACAGAGCCAAGGCCTTCCCATCCGGCAATAGCTTCGAGAAGTATTTTGAGTCAAGACCTCGTGTTTGTGCTGTTCAACTTCCGTGCATCTTCTTGACAAGACTAGTCTCGATGCCTTTGCCCAGTTTGCACTTTAAAACTGTGACACAGCAATTTTAATTTTTGACAAATCTTTAACAGTTTTGGGTCAAAGGTGAATAGAACCGTATATGTCGTGAGCCTTGTCTTAGTGTAACGGCGTTGTCTATTTTGTTTTCTTCACTTGCAGGAGAGGACAGGGACCTGACTCTTCGGGAGCTCATGTACAAAGTCCTGGACAAGTTGGAGTCCCCGACTCAAAAACGTAAGCTCTTTGATGAGCGTTTTGAGTTTTCGTGCCTTTCTAACTATAATTCCTTGTTATCGCCACTATGCATCTCACAAATACATTCGCTACGTAGATTCCTTTCGGAATTAGTCTGTTTATTGTTCTCAACCCCTCCAATCAATCAGCAGTGCATGACTTTTATTGCAGTTTTCGTCAAGGATGTCTTGTAGCAACGGGAGTAATGCCTAAAAGATTATCCATTGGGCCTACAAAGTGTCATAGGTAGTTTCCCTTTTTGAGCAAAATGTTAGGGTAGCACCCGTAACAAAACCCATGTATTTTGGACAAGTATAATATTGTTTGACATCCATTTTTAAAACTTCCAATGAAGGACGATTACTTCTCATTTTTCTGAGCTGTTTCGTGATTATGTTGATTGTTTCCCCACCCCCAATTTATCCCATTAAATGTGTTCTACAAAATAGTGGTCTGAGCAAGTCACATATTTCATATTTCTCACTTGAAATTATTTTTCTCCTACCATTCAACTTATATTTACAAACAGGTCAGTTGGGAGACATTTTGTGGTAAACTTTTCAGCATTAGGGAGACATTGGCTTTCAGGGAGACATTTCAGTGTCTCCCTGTTTTCAAACTACCAGAAGGAGGCCGAATGTTACCGTCCAAATTTTGAGAGATAATAGATTAGGGTCTAAATTGAAAACATACAAAGTTTGGTTCAGATCAGATTAGGGAATATTGAATTATGGGACTGTAAAGTTGGAAAAAATTTGAACACGTTCTTATGGGAATGTCTCCCTAAAGACCCATTAGCGGTAATTATTATACCGTTTTTATCTATTTTCGTCATTATTTGATCTGCTTCTAGACACATTTTAAATTAACGTGAACATTGGTCACGTTGTTGCCGATCGCATTTGGTAAATTATGTTCGAGTGACGCCATTCTTTTTTGTTGAAGTGGAAGTAACTAACAGTATCAGTTTCCGTTTCTTTTAATTCTCATATTAGAGCAAACCTGTTTTGTAACTGATTGTTGACGCTTAGAAAGTCTGCATGTTATGTTTATTTTGTAAACATGCTTTAAAAAAAGATGGATTAAAGTGTTTTATAGAGTTTTGCACTTCATGTTTTTCAATGGTTCCCTGCCATGTTAATGGAACAATTACCAAGTACCAGCTCTAAGGGGTCTGCTGAACATATGCTTTTAGAGGAAGAGGAATCACGAATTGCTTACAAGGGACATGTAAGGTATCTGCCCCTACTCGCTACTGTTGTCAGCTTTCCAGATATCTGGCGTCCGTCATGTGTATTTAATAAAGCTGTCCAAGTTCCTGTCTTTATTTCAGGTGGAGTGTACTGTAACGGGCATTACTGCTCGGGTGAGGATGAAGTCTGCAGGACTCGTCCGGGTGGTGGTCAGTATTGCAGCAGGGACTAGACAGAGCCTCGAATGACCAGTGAACCACTGAAAACGGAGAAAGGACAAGAGCGATTGACAAGTTTAAATAAAACCTTTTCTTTTAAATATGGTTGAAGTTTACTCGAATTCTGCATACTTTTTGGTGGTACCTTGGGTAGTTTGAAGTTGGTTAGCGTACAATTACTTAATCCTTTCACCTCCTGAGTACGAGTGTTTTTCCCTTTGCGTTGACAACTTGGCGTTCATAATTATGAGAGTGACCAGAAACAAAAGTGGCTTTGGATGCGTGTTTAATTGGTGGCCTGATAACTAAGTAGATTGTGATGCTTGGTAAATTTAGATAAAGTTGAATAAAGTGTGGAAATTTTTTGCAGTGTTTATTCCTGAAGATGTTGCTTTCACAGACTCTCCACAAAGCGGTCATTAGATTGCACCATGCCTCTGACTCAAGAAACAGTCGATACTTATCCATTAAAATTAGTGTTGCGCTGAACAGCTCTTCCTTGTTTGCGTTATCGCGAAATAAAGATCTGAAGACGCTTGAAATGTCGTTTCCTGGTGCATAATAACATCAAATACTTTGGTCTCGTGTTCAGATAGTTCTCTTTAAAGCTTGCATGGTGGATTCGTTTAAATGTAATACAGTGATACCTTTGATGCACATTAATCTCCTGTTATTAAATTCCCATTCGTGAAAAATAATGTCGCCTCTGCTGGTGATTACTTGGTAGCATAGATTCTTACTCCTGAGGGTGTGTGCGTGAACTCATATAGGAATCAGAGAAGGTCGCCATGTTCATTGCTGTCAAAGAAAAACAGCCTGTCTGTGTGTTATCCTGTCACTTCAGTGAACAGTTGATTTGAGATATAGACGACACAAGATCTTTACAAGATCATAAAGGCCCGTATCTTCTTAGTAAGGGATGGTACAAAATGGGTAAGCGGGTAAGTAAAACCAGTCTTTTCGAAGGAATGTCGAAGTGTAATGTGCAGAGGCACGTTTTGCTGATTTCTATGGACAGGGATGGTATTCCTGGCCCATTATCACAAGTTTAACAGGATTATCACATGACGACAGTTAATAAGTGCCAAGTTATGGCTGTTTACACACTGCTCCCTTCTGTAGCTACTAAACTGTACTAAGGGGCTTTGGAAACTGTTACTTTTTTTTCTATTCACAAATATCTACGTAGGTTTGAGCACTGTGATTCTGTTTGGACCCTGTTTGTTATATACGTGACCTTTGGATCAGTACAAGCGAAGGAATGGTTATAACTCTCCAGCTGTCTGTCATTTTGTTAACCACCGTCGAGAGGTAATGTTTCTTTCATTTAGGGACCCTGGACACTCCTTAGAAGGTGTGCAAACAAAACGACAGATTACATTGGTTTTGGGACAGACAAGCTGAATAATGCTCCCGTGATATAACTCATAATTAAATCTTCTGATGAATCAAATTACTTCAGTTAATGCCGACGATAAAAAGCCAAAAATCCTCCCTTCACACCTGCCCTCATCCATAATTAATCAATGTAAACAGGAAATGATCTCACCAACTGTTGCATTCTTGCATGGGTGGTGTCCTGTTTTTTTTAACCAACCATGGTGGTATTCACCACCCCAACACCGTGGTGATAAGACATGCAGACAACTTTATCAGAAAACTGGTTACCCTAATCATGAAGGAAGCAGCCTTAACTTCATATCCTCCGTGAGGAGGGGGCCCCATGCGGGTTGCGTTCACGGAAACTTCTGCGTATATATACGGATCTTGGAGCGGTGGATAAACTTAGCACCGGCTATATACGCTTTGTGTGGTAGCCATCTTGGAAGGCAGCACGGTTTGTTTAGCTGGGAAACTTCATTTTGTGTACACCCTTGAACAAAAGCACTGTCCGCAATATGGCAGCAATGCAACACCTCTATAGACTTTGTTCACAAAGAAGTCATTTGTAATCTTAATCCCTGAATCAGCTTTTATTAAGTGCTGATTTGGATTGCACCAGACTATGTTATGATAGCGTGCGTTCCTCTCTTTCAATAATTTGTTTTACGAAATCTGGCTTAATGCACCAAGGTGCGTTGAATACCACATTTGAAATTTATTCAATACGGGCGATTCACAATAGTGCGCCTCTAAGAGTTTGCAACGTGTTGGCCAATCACAACGCGCGAAATTTGTCGACCCTTTTCAAACACGCATTAGGTCGACAAATTTCGCGCAATGTGCTTGACCAACTTGTTGCAAATTCTTGGAGGCGCACTGTTGTGAAACGCCTGTGTTGAGTAGCTGTACTAATTGTGTAATTTTAATGTCATTGCTTCCATTTTTTTCTCTTAACACCTCAAAATGAAGAGTTAAACTCGCTTTCAATTTCAATATGGCCGACCATGAATAAAGTCTATTCCCAGAAATACCCCACCCATACGCTGGGGCCTGGTCAGCACACGTCCCAGGGTGTAACCCCCACCCCCCACTCGGAAGAATTGGTTGCATCTGAATAGGCTCTGGTCTGGTGCCGATCACTTAATAGCCAACATGAAAAGATGGGGCATCGTAAACTCCAACCGCTGCATGTGTGGTCCAGTCCTGAGGCATGAACATGCCTTGGTATGTCATTACTGGACCTTCCCGCCCACTTTCCTAATCTAGCACAACCCAACTGTTGGACTATCCCTCCAACTGTCATTTTTTTCACAGAAGCCGTATAACCATAACATGCGAATAATGATCAATTGTCGCTGGGAAAATTAATCGATAATAAAATAGAAGGACGGTGTCACTTCAATCTTAATTGAAAACAAATATTATCTAGTCCTTATATCAGAAGCCGAGGCCACTTTTGAGGCAAGTTTGTTTTGATGCCACGTACCTAATCTCCCCCACAGGGAGGCTTTGAGACACGTGAGCTAATACACCCCGTTCAAAATGACGCAAGCAAATCCTTACCTGCCAAAAACATTTATTTTTCCCCGTATAGATCCATAATACTTGTTCGTTGGTTGATCCGTTATGCACAGACAGGTTATACTATCGATCAGATTTTTAATTACAACAGCGGCTACATGCACCAAGTGTACCCAAAATCTTAACGATTTCCCAGCTTACTAGGTTTTTTGAGCGTACAGACGGTCAGACTATCAAAATAGACCAACCTTCCTGCATGGCCGACGTGACACGCGAAAATAGGTCATTGCATTATCGTCCGACCAGGTTCTCTTATTATTTGACGAAAACGTTCATTTGTGTACTAGGCCTACCTCTATCTTTGCTCGGTCGTGGCAGCCGACAGTCAAGCAACAGCAGGGTTGTTAAAAGTATTTCCATTTCGTTAAAATTGATCGGTCAAACAGCGTTGTTTATTTACCAAGCGGTGCACACAATTGATGTGGTTGGACGCAAATGATCGGTTTTCAGACAAATCATTCTTTCTTTCTTTCTTTGTTTCTTTTTTTATCTTTTTTTTTGGTAGAAACTTCTCAGTGGACTTTTTTCGCAAAGGCTCCAGTCTGTCTGGGGATTTAAAAAAATGTTATTTTTGTTATGGATTGTTCTTCCTTTTTTCCCCCTGAAGAATATCAATAAGTGCATGCGACCCTACATTTCACTGAACAGACTTCTTAAGTTTGAGACTTAATAGCATTTTAGTATGTTAACAACGAGCATAAACTGCCCTGGATATATTGAATGGCATTCCAAGCAGAGGATAATGACACCCTTTCCAGATTGTTGAATGCGAAAATGACAGATGGCCGGGCGGCTTAATGGAGCTTCCAACAGTACGCTGGCGCAGATCATGTGCAACGAAGGAAACCTCGGTTTTGCACTACCGATGTCGAAAGACAGCCTACCAGATATCGGAATACAGCAGTGTTCTTCTGTTTGTGTGCAACAGAGATAAGAAAGCATTTCCACAACCTCCTACACAAAGGGCACCACGCCATACCTGCTCTGGTTGGAGGTTCAGGCAAATCCCCTTGCCCTCCACCGTAATCCTTTCCAACACCAATATCGGGTCCGGCTGGAACGAGGCTTGGTATTCCGCTCAAAAACATCCACAACACCTCGTGCCGTACACGAATGTTTTCCTGAGTATGCGCTCGGCAGATTCCTTGCTCAAAAGCGATCACAGATGCCTCACCCCAACCGAGATTTTCAACGAAGAGGTAGTCATTTTGGGGGGACAAAATAACTGAAGTTGTTCATGAATGCGTAAGTTCAGTCCAGAGATTTTTTTTTTTTATATCAACAACATGAGCGTAGATCCCGGGTATGGAGGTAAATATCCTCCCCACTTTTTGAGGGGGAGAGGAATGGACTAGAGACCGGAAGTAAAAGGTCACGCAGCGAGCTTCCGGAACCCTTATACGGTCCGTCTATGGGGAGTTTACATTGGGCCGTCCTCTCACGTTTGATAATTTATGGAAGAATAATTCCTAACTGAAACCACCCTGTGAAACACTCATGTTGGAATTTACCTTTGTAGTCCTCAACTAATGTTTCGGAAAAGTCACCAGGAGATGGTAAAAAACGAATTTCATCAACGATCTTTAATTTCCAGTGATATCGTACCTATAGGTCTCCTTGTTCATGCCATAAATGTACCATTCTGATGTAAGATTCTGCGTGACTTTGATGGACATTATAGATGTGCATCTTTATCATGAACATCGCCCCCATACGGTGTATACACTGTGAAAACTCGGGTGTTAAAATCAACACGTTTGGGTGTTATCAGATGACCACATAGGGATGATGTTACTTTGCACACCTATAAGTGTCACAGTGCACTAGAAGGTGTTATGAGTAACACCAAATAACACCAAAATTTTAACACCAGTGAATAGTGTTGGTGTAGTCTACTGATAACACCGCGGGTGTTAAATTTAACACCCCAGTTTTTGCAGTGTATGGTGTCACTCCCCCCCCCACCCTTTCAAATGTCCACGGCCATCTCCCCTCCCCCATTTCCAACACAGATTTACGCCACTGATCAGCAGTTGCTTTGAAACTGAACTTTTCGACATCTCACCAAGGACTGCGCTCTGTTATGCCATCTGGATTTATAATCTCTCCTGTCAGGGTGAAAGATCTTTGAAAAGAAAAAAAAAATTGCAATGAGTCAACGACACAGAACATAAACGAGAACCGGGTAAAGAGTTGGCCACAGAGCCCATTTCTTGAAATTGTAGGCACGAAGCCAGTAACAAGCAGGCATTGTCACAGGCTACAGACTTTATGCACCATTATTTCAGACAGAGACCGAGTAGCTTGGCATTATATTACAAGTGAACTTTATTTGGCACCCACCCTTTAGATCGCTGGTTCCCTTGTTCTCTTTACATGTGAATGTGTAGGCCCACTGCAAAGGCGAGCTGTTATTGGACCAAGTTATAGCTCACTCCCCTGGATCATATTTGGCTGCGTTGTCTGCACTGTAAGGCCGTAAGTCAAGTGTCTTCATAAGTTCTAACACCCCAACGAATATTCCATTGCCAGGCATTATACTGAGAGGAGCAACTTGTACTTCGTTAGGACGAAATCTCCACGCTCTCCTGTGAGTTTACAAATGTCTGATTTACCCTTCACGATATTTCCATACTTACTTTTAACAGTAGCCTGTACAGTTCTCTGACGACATAAACTGTCCTTAGTCAGTTTCATTCTTTAACGATCCGGTTGTTTTCTCTATCCTTGGCTCAGTTTGGGAGATGAGCATGCGTTAGTCTTGTGAAAATTGCTTCAGTGATCTCGTCTTTTCTCTTTCTCAGTATATTTCAGCAACCATGAGAGTTGACATTGCTCTTCTGCTTCTATGCCTGGGCGGTACCTGTGCATATGCCTACAACAGCCCAGCAGGTAAGCATTCTCCGGGAACATCTTGGAGTAGGATGTCCACATCTGGAGCTCTCTCCTGACTTCACGAGATCACAAATCGTACTTTAGTGGCGTCAATATCAGGGTATACGGCGCGAGCGCTCGATCTCCGGGCGGGTTTAGATTTAAGTGCGCAGTGTCTTTACGGTTGGCTTCTGATCCCTAGAAGTAATATTGGGGCGCCCCATTTAAGCTTATTGTTTTAGTTTCCGACCAAGTTCGTGGCTAAAGTAGAAAGCAAACAAAACCAAAACAAACCGAAACAAAAAAGCAATAAAAAGGTTGAGTGTTGATACCAAAAGACAATCCAGGGAGAGCTCACCAGCATTGTAAATCTTGGGATGGCACACATTGGCAAAAGGTGGCATATGCCGGGTGAAAATTAATTCTTCACATTTTTTGGTGACTACAGGAAAATTTAAAAATGGATTTATATTTTTACTTGTCTAACATCTTAAGAAATAAAAAAGTCAATTTACATCAAATAAATAATATATTCAACATTTAGCTTGATGTGTTCATCGTATTTGCTGTTCATTTGGAAGCCAAGATCTCCAGTTTTTTTTTTTTTTTTTTTTACTAACTGACCCTCTTCCAAGAGACATGAGATCGAAAGACGCCCCAACAATAAAAAAATGTCCTTATCTTTATCCTAGAACGCGAGTCATAGGTCTGAGGCCCGTTGTGGTTGTTATTGATCGATTCTTGTCATAAATTGAACTTTTTTCTGAAGGAGAGGACAAGGAACTGGCTCTCCGTGAACTACTTTACAGGTTGCTGAGTGACCCTGGTAAGTATTTTTTGTCATTATCAGTTTCAGACATCAAAGACAAAGAAGAAAAAAGACACAAAATGCCATTTCGTCAAAATTAGTCATTGCATTTATAACGTTTACCCATGACACCACCGGACGGACAAAAAAAGCTTTCCAGAGTGGAAAAGAAAAACCAAACAGAAAAAGTAATCTGTTTAATTGGGTACAACTGTGAAAATTCTACCAAGCACAAAACAGGCATCGTCTTCTGCCCGTTAATTGCCAACAAAAGCTTACACAAACAGGCACAATAATGTGTGATCATGATTCCGTACAGAGACTCGCAGAGGCGAAGAGTACAATCCAATGGAACTCAACCGGGACGTTAATGGTGAGTTAACACACTGTCTGCAATTTAAATTAAAGGGCCTATGAAATGTGCTTTTTATTAGTATGAATGGGAGATAGTATATGTTTAAAAAAGACTTCTTGTCAGTAAAAGTTGCAGCCTTAATTATTAAGTATAAAAAAACCATTAGAAAGAGCTTTTCCGAGACAGCCCCGCCCCAAGAGAAGCAGCTTATTAGCATAGAAAATTTGCAAAAATGTGACGTACGTTTGAGATACCACATCGGCCTGTGGTGCCGACGCTAGCCCTTTGTATATGTATATCAGTGCAGTTAGTGCGAAAACGCGATTTCGCCATCACCAAAAGTTTGCTGAAATCTCGTCAAATTTGTGGAGAATGCCAACCAGGTGCGTTGCTGCAGGTTGTGGCAACGGAAGTAATGTATTGTCACCCAACTCTGTGGAATATTGACTTCCAAATTATCGTCATTCTCCATGTCTGATTACAAATGTGAATGCTTGCCCATCGGGACATCTGCGTGCGTTTTTACTCTCTCATAGATATTGTGTGTATAATGCAGATATCGCTTTCTTATTAGACGCATCGCCTCCATCGATTGAAAAGAGCCGTGGGATGTTTTCATTTCTGTTGGCCACATGACAGCAAAGCACGTATTTCATAGTCATTCCCTCCAACCACAGACATATAAACGCAGGGGGGGGGCTTTCACGAAGCTAGGTGCTCCTTCATTGAGATGAAATTCCTTAATCTCTTGCACCGATTCGTTGGAATCCTTTGGTCTGTAAGTATTTTCTTTTTTGAGGCGTTTGCAAATGGTAAAAAGGGTTAACAAGTAAATCTTCGTCTACGTAGGATGGGGATGCAAGAAGCCATGTCCGCCTGAAAAACCACACTGCGCTCACTACCTCGGTGTCTGCACAACCTACAAGTAGCAGCGGTGCGTGTCTCTAACCTGGATTTCGTGGTAATGAATAGTTTTATTGTTATTACAGGTGGTGAACACCATTGGTAAAAATCCTCAAACCGGACTACCGTATAATCCTGAAATATCTTACTTGAAAGAAATGTAACAGCCTGAATCAGTCTGTACAACATTTCCGCCTAGAATGCTGTAGTTTCCGAGAAAACAGAAATTTCGTTCTCTTGTCTTACGATGTTTGGCCAACCATCGTATAAGAGTTCATTTCACTTTCCACAACACGTGCCTTTAACAGGCGCCGATTTTGTTGTATGTAGTGTTTGCAGATGTTGTGGGAGTCTTAACAGCAGCTAAATATACCGACAGAAACGCACCAAAAAGCAATGAAATCATAGGAAGCTGAGTGCAAGGTGTAAAATGGAAAATAAATTGGATCAGTGTGAAGTTAAATTTTATTGAAGGAATTGGTTTCCTCAACGCAAAAACTTTGCAAATTTAAAATCACCCCGAGAGCATAATGGTATGATCCAAACATGGTGGCTGTTCAGAGGAGAATGGTGAAAGGGATTTCGTCAACAAAATGTACGATTTCCTCACGTGAAATTTTCCATGTTGCAAGACATAATTTCTTCTTTGCTTATATACGCATCAGTGAATCAGCTAAGAATGAAGATTTTAGAATTTCGTTGACGTGTAAACTGACATGGAAATGCAGTCATTAAGTACCTGAGAAATAATAAATGATATGAATAAATAAATGAATGATCGCGCGTGTACGTGCACTGAGCCACATAAAAAACAAAACAAAAAAAGCTTAGCATCAGCACCCGCCTCAAAAATTCTTGCCTCGTGGTTTTTTCTTCTTTTTTTCTTTAAAAGTTGTCTTTTCCGATGTCTTTAACTGTCCACCGTAGTTTCTACCCACACAACCTCATGCATGCACAACGTGCGACCTATTATTACTTACACAAAAATAATGTCATGTGCACTTTGGGCAAGAGTCTGAAGTTAACATGGTTCTTGCCTTCAGTGCGGCAGTTTAGATCTTGCAAATGTCCAAGAATTAACCAAAACAAAAGTCCTCCCTCCTCGTTTTTTTGCAAATACAACTGGTACTAACCTATTTTTGTTTGTGGCCTACTCGTTCACGGACATGAATCGACTGCGTCCCTGGATGAATTTGTTTTCAGGAATGCGCAATATGCTACATTGTCGAGGAGGCGCATTACTCCAAAGTAAAACGACTGCTCCTAGCCGTTAAAAACTGATCCTTTTTAAGGGAAAGAGAACTTGCCATGGTTATTTCCCACCCTGATCCCGAGGACATTATTCGCTTACTACGAACGCCCTGTAATCCATAGATTTTATGTTAGATAAACAACAAGACCTTCAATATAAACGTTGAAAATGCCGTGCTGTTTTTTCACAAAGCAGCTGATTAAAACATGAAACACTGTGGAATGTAAGTTGCCGTGGATATTACGCACCGCAATCAGCTAATCTTGTGAAATTACGCCAAAAATGTATTGTGTTCACTCAACNCTCTGTGGAATATTGACTTCCCAAATTATCGTCATTCTCCATGTCTGATTACAGATGTGAATGCTTGCCAATCGGGATATCTGCGTGGGTTTTTACTTTCTCGTAGATATTGTGTGTATAATGCAGATATCGCTTTCTTATTAGACGCATCGCCTCCATCGATTGAAAAGAGCCATGGGATGTTTTCATTTCTGTTGGCCACATGACAGCAAAGCACGTATTTCATGGCCATTCCCTCCAACCACAGACATATAAACGCAGGGGGGGGGGGCTTTCACGAAGCTGGGTGTTCCTTCATTGAGATGAAATTCCTTAATCTCTTGCACCGATTCGTTGGAGTCCTTTGGTCTGTAAGTATTTTCTTTTTTGAAACGTGTGCAAATATGAATAAGTATTTTCTTTTTTGAAACGTGTGCAAATGGTAAAAGCGTTAACAAGTAAATCTTCGTCTACGCAGGATGGGGATGCAAGAAGCCATGTCCGCCTGAAAAACCACACTGCGCTCACTACCTCGGTGTCTGCACACCCTACAAGTAGCAACGGCGCGTGTCTCTAATCTGGATTTCGTGGTAATGAATAATTTTATTGTTATTACATGTGGTGAACACCATTGGTAAAAATCCTCAAACCGGACTACCGTATAACCCTGAAATATCTTACTTGAAAGAAGTGTAACAGCCTGAATCAGTCTGTAAAACATTTCCGCCCAGAATGCTGTAGTTTCCGAGAAAACAGAAATTTCGTTCTCTTGTCTTACGATGTTTGGCTAACCATCGTATAAGAGTTCATTTCACTTTGCACAACACGTGCCTTTAACAGGCGCCGATTTTGTTGTATGTAGTGTTTGCAGATGTTCTGGGAGTGTTAAAAGCAGCTAAATATACCGAAAGAAATGCACCAAAAAGCACTGAAATCATAGGAAGCTGAGTGCAAGGTGTAAAATGGAAAATAAATTGGATCAGTGTGAAGTTAAATTTTATTAAAGGAATTGGTTTTCTTAACGCAAAAACTTTGCAAATTTAAAATCAACCCCGAGAGCATAATGGTATGATCCAAACATGGTGGCTGTTCTGGGGAGAATGGTGAAAGGGAATTTCGTCAACAGAATGTACGATTTCCACACGTGAAATCTCCCATGTTGCAAGACAGAATTTCTTCTTTGCTTATATACGCATGAGTGAATCAGCTAAGAATGAAAATTTTAGAATTTCGTTGACGTGTAAATTGACGTGGAAGTGCAGTTATTAAGTACCTGAGAAATAATAAATGATATGAATAAATGAATGAATGGTCGTGCGTGTACGTGCACTGGGCCACATAAAAAATAGCTACGCATCAGCACCAGCCTCAAAAATTCTTGCCTCGTGTTTTTTTTTTTTTTTTTTCTTAATTTTTTTCTTTAAAAGTTGTCTTTTCCGATGTCTTTAACTGTCCACCGTAGTTTCTACCCACACAACCTCGTGCATGTAGAACGTGCGACCTATTAGTACTTACACAAAAATAATGTAATGTGCACTTTTGTGCACGAGTCTGAAGTTAACATGGTGCTTGCCTTCAGTGTCCAAGAATTAACAAAAAAGTCCTCCCTCCTCGTTTTTTTGCAAATACAACGAATGCTAAACTATTTTTTTGTGTGGCCTACTCGTTCACGGACATGAATCGACTGCATCCCTGGATGAATTTTTTTCATGAATGCGCAATATGCTACATTGTCGAGGAGGCACATTACTCCAAAGTAAAATGACTGCTCCTAGCCGTTGAAAACTGATCCTTTTTAAGGGAAAGAGAACTTGCCATGCCTGTTTCCCACCCTGATCCCGCGGACATTATTCGCTTACTACGAACGCTCTGTAATCCATAGATTTTATGCAAGATAAATAACAAGACCTTTGATATAAACGTTGAAAATGTCGTGCAGTTTTTCTCGTTTTTTTCACAAAGCAGCTGATTCAAACATGAAACACTGTGGAATGTAAGTTGCCGTGGATATTACGCACCGCAATCAGCTAATCTTGTGAAATTACGCCAAAAATGTATAGTACTCACTACCTTTAACCTAAAAAAATTCTGGTAATTAAAACNTGAAGATTTATGAGAAGAGGCGCCGGCAGGCACTGGAGCTGTTGGGTCTCACAAAAGAGTTAGTCTTAATTGTATCAAACTAAGTTATAAAACCATAACATAATTGACAATCAAAAGATTTCATTTCACATCTATTAACACGTCCGATCAAATTAACAAATATGTAATGATTGTTTTGTTTGAAATAATGTTTTATATTTCATTATGTGTTTCTTTCTTTTGTTTCTTTTTAGTGGCAACCGTATTATACTCACAATTTTAATGTCCTTGTTTGCATAATAAAAAATTCAGTAAGTTTTGTCTGTGCTTTTTTCCTCAGATTCTGATGTGACAGAATATGATAAATGGAAATCTAAGAAGTTTATGGTTTGAGTTATTCAGTAAAGCCTGATACTCGGTTAGGTTGTATATTTTCATTTTTTTCTTTATTGTCCTATTTTCATTCTTCTCAAGGAAAATTGTCGGTAAACTTAGCCTTTATGCCAATTTTAATTCTTTTATAGTGAGAGAAATTGTCTGAACCCTTAGCCTTGCCTGAAAGCAAAAACGAAGCTAATAATTACGAGGTAAAAATATAAAGGTTGCAGATGCTGTTGGCCACAATATGTTTAATATCTTACGTAAGTTAGCCGGGCTGGTTATTTCGTTGCCAAAAAAGAGATAGATGAAAACCTAGGGAGAACCTTTTGTCAAGCACCATGTTTAATCCATCCAGTCAGTGACGTATCCAAGTCTTGCGGGTATTGAACATAAATGTTTATTTTTATCCATCACGAAATCATCACCTCACCCAAAGAAAGTTTGCAGAAGCGTTTCTAAACCACTTGCACTTTCACCCCTCCCCCGAAAAAGGCGACGTGTTTCATGGGGGAGGGTAACCACTCCTCCCCCCCCCCGCCCCCTGGATACCCACTGCATCAAGTGCTTGCTTTGAACGGGAGTCACAGTGAGTGAAAAAAAAAATCAAATAACATAATAACACAGTCAGGTTTCAAGCGTAAAGTCCTCGTTCTTTCTCTTGTCCATCGTTTTGATTTTAACTTCATTAGTCTTTATTGGTGATTTGTTTAGAATTAAAGTAATAATTACAAAAACATGCAGCAAAACACAACGTTTGAATGTACGTTTTCTTCTTGTTTTATTGTTGTCATTGTGGAAGAAATGTCTTTCGGTCCACGCAACTTAACTCTGCCGTACCCCCATCTTTAACTATGATCCACATATCTAGGCATCATTCTGCTAGATTTAGCTTAATTCTCTACTAATCCGTTATGGAATTTCGGCTTCATTGCTTTCATTTCTACTCTTCTTAAAAAAGTTCGGGTTCAATTCCAATATGGCCCCCTATGAATACCATTTATTCCAGAATTACTCCAGCCGTTCATAGATAGGGCCTACTTGATTAGCACTTGTCCCAGGCGGTACTATGATTTGGGTACAGCTAATTAGGCTTTGGTCTGCAGCCAGTCGCTTTGTAACCAACATGACAAAATCAGATGGGGCATTGTGAATCCCAACCCCTTTCCGCGTGCGGTCCAGTCCAGACACTCTGCATGCGCGCTGTAACTTACACACGATGGGAAATAAAACTCACCCGGGAAAGCAATCGACAGGCCTACTGAAATTGAGAGAAGAACCACTTTAATCTTGATTGATAACAAAAGTGAAGTCGAGACTCCAAGAGCCAGACTCACGATCGAGGCAAGTTCAATTCTAGGTACCTTTGCCCTGGTCATGGGAGGCTTTGTTGCAGTGACTTGAGCTGTCAGACCCTGTCTGCGCAAAATGACGCAGGCAAATCCTTACCTGACAAAAAATATTTTCCGTACACCTTTTACTAATATAACGATCCATGAGTTAATTTCAGCATGTTGTCGATTATAGGTTTTGTACCGTCGGATGGTACTTTGTCCACTTGATTTTTATTATTTAACGGCGGCAACTTTAACACAAGGTTGACCGAGTGTATCAAGAATTTACGGATTAACAGTTTTCGACTTTTTTAGACTATCAGAACAGAAAATCTTTCTTGGGCCTGACGCATGAAAATAGTCATTGTGCAGTCACGTTCCCTCACTATTTTCCAACGAAAGCATCCACGCATGTTATAGGACATGCCTATATCCTTACTCGATTTTAGCAGCCGGTAGCAAGATAACAGCCGGGTCGTGGAAAGTTTTATTAGTCCTTTATAATCGGTTGGTCGAACAATGTCGTTTTCCCCGGGGCGCACATCTTTTTACACAATTGAAATGGTTGGAAGCAAAATCATCAATTTCCAGACTCTCCAGTATTTCCTTTGTAGAAACCGGTAGTTGACGTCTCCGTAAAGGTTCCAGTCTGTCTGGGGACTTCAAAAATATAAAAGGAAAAACTTTATTCTTCATGGTGAATTGTTAACATTCTTTCCTTAAAAATATCAATATGTGCACACGATCCTATTATTTCACTTGAACAACAGACTTGTCGAACCTAGGTTGAGTTTTGGTTATTGTTCCGGAATGTTAACCGTGAGCGCTATAAACTGCCCTCTGGATATTTCGAATGGCATCCCAACTACAGGATATTGAGATCCTTTCCAGGTTGTTGAATGAAAAGAATGATAGATGACCAGGCGGCTCGTTTGAGCTTCACTGCTACCTGGAGTGTGCTCAACTAAGTTAGGTTTTTCAGGTTCTGTGATAATTAGGCTATAGAACGACAGCCTACCAGAAATCTGAACAGACTACGAGGCTTTCTGTCTGTTTGCAACAGACCAGGTCTACAATGCCCTTTTTGCAATATTCTTCTTAGGTGCGGGCAATGTGGTTCCAGACTTTGTGATGTCATTCCGTGTCAATTCAACGTGCCTAATGTGGACCAGACAATCAGGGATCCAAACAAAATTTGGTGAGCTGAATGGATTCCTTGAAACCTCCAAAAATGCAATTTTTATGTCAACCTGTCTATTAAAGGCCGGTTCACACTTCAGGCGCGTGCAAAAACGAATCAAAGTTGACGTCACAAAAATTTTTGCAACGAAATTTCGCCCAAGTTGAAAATGTGTTTAACTTGTTACGAATTCGAACCGCGATGACAGCCTGAGGAACTACAACTTTAAAACAAAAAAAATACCATTTTATTGAAATTTGTGTCCCGTTTCTAATTCAAAAAGTTTATTTAAATCAATTGGAAATGACCGATAGAAAAATTAACTTCGAAGTTTTGTTTTGTTTTTAAATTGTTTCGAATAATGTACGTTCCATTTTTCAAATACCAGGACTCTCCCTTTCATTGGAGCATGTCTTGGCCACCGTAGATTTCAAAGGGCGCCAGCTCGCTTCGTTGATCGGATGACAGTTGTACGCATGTGTACACATTTACACGCGGTCGATTCCACAAGGCGCTTTGCCACACCACACAGCCAGTGCTGCTTTAGACGTAGTATAGTATACCTGTGTATAAAAAGAAGTGAGTTCACTTTGCAATGAAAGACTGTGAGTTGTATTGTTCAAAACTACCTCCACGAACCTAAACTGCATAGTATTTTCCTGGAAATCCTGGTTCAGTACAGGTGAGCAGATTTTGCAGGATGGAGAGAGTCCGTGCCACGCTAGTGGGGCTAATACTAGTATTGGTGAGGCCTTCGAGTGAACTCGATCTGGCTCGAACGTGTACCGGTACCTGGACCAGGCATGGTGTACGTCTTTTGAATGTTTAGACGCACTTGTTTTGTAGATGAAGAAACTGTTCAGTAGGCCCCTCTGTACCTGTACATGTACGTACACTGCGATTACAATGACTACAGACTGCACTGTGAATCGAAATCGTAAGTAGCCGTGACTGTACATGTATGTATGTATACCGGTAGGTCAACATGTACATGTAAATGATGTACATGTATAACTTGTATGTACATGTATGTTAAACCAATTATTCATTTAACCGCATCTACAGTCAAATGCATTATGCATGGCTTTCTGTCTGTGGCACGTGGTCTTGCCTGTTCTATTGTGAGCATAGGAAATTTCCGCCCTGTCAGGTTTTGCGATATCAACATTATACTTTGTCCCGTCATGCCCGTAGGCATCCTGCCAACATGTTTACAGGGCTTTGTATGATTGGACATTGCTAGGTTCATTTATTCCTGTTGCTAGGTAGTGGACCAATGGGAGCAGGCCAAATTACGCATCTCTGGGAGAAGGATGGGATCAAGTGCACTTTTGTTTTGCTGCTAAACGAGCAACTTTGCTTGCTTCTTTTTCTTTCCCACAATGCCTTTCTACTTGTGCAAAACCACCCAGTATTAGCGATAAGGCTTACTGCCCATGATGCAATTTATAAGATGTACATGTACATGAACAAGTTCTACAGTAACATGGACAACACTTGATACCTCTGTCACGGTACACCATGCACCATACATGTATGCATGTACAAACTCCGTTTCAATGAAAATCAACAGAGGGTGCCCTGTGAAAAGAGATTTTGCTCACACGTGCTAAATTGAAAAGTTTGCATCGTGAAATTTATGAATGAATGTCTCCGCCCATCAACTGCCAATGTCCTGAAAATTTGCGTGATGATATTGTATAATATTGTTTTCATGTTGTCAAAAAATGAGCAAAAATTGGCTTCTTAATAAAAAAGATTGCAGTAATTGAGTTTCAGTTTCAAAAATAAATTCAGAAAAATGTGAAATCTTCATTTTTTTGCCTAAATTCCAAAATAGGCAGATACTCAATTTTCCAGTGCTTTCAGGTAACCTTTCAACATCCTTCTACCAGCCCATACCAAGAAAAACAGGTGGCAGGGTGACCACTATGACCAAAAAATGTCAAAAATGATGCCTCTCCTGATGATCTTTTGACTCAAAGATGACGTTATACATGTACATGTAGATGTTCATGCTCTTGAAATCGTCTGATTTCTACCAAATGAATAAATTTTGGCAGAAAATGTTACGTTTTCTTTGAGGGTGGTATAGTTTTGCTGACAACCCCAAAGTCAGTCAATCCGATCGAAGTTCATCACCCGGTCATAAGATAATTTTACTACTTGAAGGTCATCTCATGTATCTCGGAACACGCAGATTTGCTGTGATGGAGGTTGGCTACAGCTGAACAAACCTCACCAATTTAGCCAAATCGATTGGATACTCACTTTGTTTGAACGTGTGAGGCAATTTGGAACATTTAACTTGATGTTTAAGCCCTATACTGGTNCCCCTTACCGACTCGCCCCCTGACCGACTCGCCCCCTAGCCGACTTGCCCCTTACTAACTCGCCCCCCTAGCCAACTCGCCCCCTAGCCAACTCGCCCCCTAACCGACTCGCCCCCTGACCGACTCGCCCGGCGCCCCCTAGCCAACTCACCCCCTAAGTTATCCAAGCACGTATGGCCGGCCCATTCACCCTTTAATAAAAAACACAATCAGTGAGAGATGGAATCTGTGATTGCTGCCCTTAAAAATAGGTTCTGGGGTTTGTAGCGGGCACTCAAAGTTGAGAATTATGATAGTTAAAATGTTTAAAGCCTGGTGGATATTCCCTTTCTGTGAAATTTGGGGGTAACAATATATTTTTGATATTGGTAAAACTAATTCAGTATTATCGTGTGTATGGGCCATGGCGCAGCGTTTCCTGTGTATTGTCTATGGGATTTTGTGCACCACAACACCCACACTCTACCATATATGGCCATATTAATTAACTTTGCGAACTATTTTGGATAAAAAATGGTACAAATTAGGCATAATGTCCTGCGACACAAACCTACGGAAGTGTTAAGGAGACATGATTTATGACAAAGGGGTAAGTTATAATTATTCTAGTGAGGTATAACTAGATAGGGAAACACCAAAAGGAAATTGACAAATTGACATATGTCTTCTCAACTAGATTACATCGTTTAATTAAAAAAGCTACCGGAAGAATATACAGTAAGTTACTAGTAAAGAAATTAAAAACACTCTCAAAGATATTTAATTCCAAAAAAGGAAGAAAGAATACGAACTAATGCCGTTTTGCAGATCAGGCGCTATTTGCGCCAGCTATACGTTTTATTATTATTATTCATGAATCAATCAGTTTCCCAATTCAATTCAATCTGGAAGATGTAGGAGAA